AGGAAGGGGCTCCCTTGCCAACTGGAGGCATGTGGGCTCCCAGCCTGAGATGCCATAGAAATCTCCCTGCTCTTCTCTCTGTCCTTGCCCAACCCCCCTTGGGCCCTGGCCTCGTAGGTATGAGGGGTCCTACATCACCATCTGCAGGGTTCTGGGAGTCCACCTCTGGGCTCTGCTGGGACCAGTTCCCAGGGAAGCATCTGTGGTGAAGGATCCTGGCCCTTTAATGACTACCTCCCCTCCCAGCCAGGGCAGCTGGAGGAGGCCTCTGCCCACCCTCCCCTCCACCCCACGCCACCCCACGCCACCCCAGAAATCCAGGTTCTGCAAATGGACCTTGATTGCCAGCAGCACTGATGGGGGCAGTTCTGACTTTACTGACCCATCCTGTGCTCTAGGCCTAGAAAGCTAAACAGATGCACAAAGCTTGGGTTTGCCTCTTGGTCTTCCTTCCACCCGGCCTCCGCCTGATGCTGGCTTGAGCTACCATGTGGCCCCTACACAGGCTTGGAAGCGCCCTGGCATTTCCACTGTCCGCCTGACCGAGCACGGCGAGCGTGGATGGCTCTCCGTGTAAGCCGGCACAGGTTTCTAAGTATAGACCCCAGCAGCCCCGTGGCTGCTGGTAAGTCTCGGGATACCATTTGATACCCGCCTGGCCTGACTCCAGCCACTGCCAGCTGCTGAGGGGAGGGGGCTGCCGTGTTTGGGCCAGCCCATCCCCCCCTCCCCCCCCCTTCTATAGAGAGCAGAGCCAGCAGTTTAACTATCACAGGCGGGGAGGGACCTCAGTGCCCAGCTGACCCTGCTCTCTAATCATTATGCATATAAGAATGCCGTCCACTGGGGAGTGTACATTGTGTCTGGAGGAGATGGGCAGAGGCGGAGCCAGTGTCCTCGAACTCTCGCTCTGACCCGTGTTCTCACTGCCCTGCTTCTGTGCTCCCTGCTCACCCCGGCTCACAGGAGCGAGGATAACTCCCAAAACGGGCTGGGCAGCCCTGCCCTCCCTTTTTGGTTTCTAGTTTGTATTTTCTTCTTTACACGGAAGCTGGGGTGGGGTGGGCAGTGATTCTCCTCAAGACAATCACCAGAACTGGGGGTAGGGCCCTGGGCCGTGGGACAGGTGGCATTTTCCCTGTGCCTGCAGGCAGGTGTGTGGCTCTCCTGAGGCCTCTGAGACCTGAGAGGGTTTCAGAGCTGCTCTGCCTGCCAGGTTGTCAGCAGGCCTGTGAGTTCACCTTTAGAAGGTGGTTAAACTGATCCCCTAATTTTCTTCTGGCTGAGAAATTATCCAGAAAGTTTGTATGTGAATTACTCTGGTCTGAAATAACTTCCTAACTCAGACTGGGTACTGTGGGTGGGCAAGTCACATCCGTGTGTGAGGTTTGGGGGTGCCGAGTTGCTGAGGGGCTTTGCTTGAGTCAGGATAGAGGGAGATGGCCGGGCCACTCCAGGGCCTGCACGGCCATGGCCCAGCCTGGCTGTTGTTTAGCTGGGGGCCGCTGGTTCCAGCATCCCTGCCTCATGCTCTCCCCTCTGGATTGAAATAACTCTGGTCCAAAGTCACTCAGAGGCTTTGGAAGGCTGGGCACTTTGTTTCTAAGATGGGGTGCCAGAGCCACGGTGGGTACCTCACCGAGAAGGCCTGGCCGCCCAGTAGTATGTTGCCAAGGACACTTGGCTGCTGGGCCACCAGTTCTCCCCATTTGCCTGCAGAAATCAAGCTTTCCAAGTTCGCTAATCAGACATTTGGAAGGCGTCAGATTCTTCATGCAGGGTCTCCATGCGGGAGTCTGGGGACGCTGTGGAACCATTGTTTGGTTGCACAAGTTTGCATTAGTTGCCACCATGTAACATTTTTATTTTAAAGTAAAAACTCAGATTTCTTGAAAACCAGAATATATGGTGCCCCTCTCATAGCCTCCCCTCTTACCCCAGCACTGCCTGAGGGCAGAGGGTGGGTTTCTGATTAGCATCACTTGCTGCTGCTGGACTTCTTATTGTCCAGTAGAGGCCAGAGGCTTGTTTCTAGGACACGTGTCTCCATCAAGAAACAGATCCAGGGGCCTCATCTCCTCGGATCTCACTTCCCAAGGCCTGGCCCCGAGGCTGCGTGTTTGAGACCCTTGCTGCCAGGAAACCCGCTGACTGGGGGATAGCTCACTGACTGCCCTTTCAGGTAGGAGGGGTGGTCCCTCTCCCCAGCCCAGCGATCCAGCCCTGTGGGGAGGGACCAGGGATTGGAGAGTGGAAGGAGCAGTCAGAAACCACGGCCACAGTGGTGTGCTAAGCACTCTCATTTCACTGATGCAGAGTTCACACTCCAGGAAGCGACGCCCGTCCGGGAAGAGGCTGGGGCCGCTCCAGTTTGCGTGGGACCCCCGGATTGGAATCATGGAAGGAGTTTGGGGGATGGCATCCCTGGGTTTCAGTTCTGGCCCTGCCATTTATTAAGTAGCCTTGCATGAGGTCTCTGAGCCTCAGTAAAATGGGCTTAATACCTCTCCTTGCTGAATTGTTTTGAACGGAGATAGTACTATACGAAGTACTGGGCCTATTGTACTGGCAAATAGTTTGTAATAATAAATGTAGTTATTATGTTGGAGAAACTGACACTTGGTGTGGGTGGGGAAGAGAGGAATATAAAGAAAGAAAACCAATCCTTTGCATTTTAGTTAGATTGGGGCTTGGGTTTCTGGGCTTGTTGGTGTCCATGTCATTGTCCCCCCTCCACCCCCCTCCTCTCCCTCACACACAATCAGGCAGATACAGGAACCTCCTCTTGGAAACCTGCTGAGTCATCACCGCCTTGGGAAATGCAGGAGCCTCCGTGAGAACCAACCGAGGGAGGACAGGACGCTCCAGGGAGAGGTGGAGGGTGGTGTCTGCACTTGTGTAAAGGTCACCCGCCATTTGTTTGTCCCCTGACAATACTGCCAACTTGCTTTTCATAGTAAAACGAGGGGAAAGATGTCACAACTGCATTTGCTAAAGCGCGTTACTGAGGGCAGTAAAGGAAAATACACCGATGAACAAAAGTTTCTGCCCAGGGCTGTTATCTAATCAGCGCCCTCTCTGTGCTGTTCTTATCATCGTCTTGTGACGCTCTGGTTTTATCGTCAGAAGGATGTCTGACAACCACGGGTTTGTCCAACCCATGATGAGCTTCTCGGTGCTTTTACTTGTGTGTTTATTTCTAACTGTTGGGGTGCATCATCCTAAACAGCTACGAGATTCTTGTCCACAACCCTGGAGACTGAAGAATATACAGATAAGACAGAGGTGGGGAGGGGAGGGGGGGGGACTTGGCCAGACTTCAGGGGCCACATACGAAGCCCAGGGCATCACAAAGCCCCAAACTGTTGCCCCAGTGACTCACAGCCAGTATCTTTATCAGGTTCAGTTTTGACACTTTGGGGTAGTCTGACGATAGCATTGCTCTTTTAAAGTAAAATTAGACACAGCTTGCTAAAATCAATGAAAACCGGCTTAGATTCTCAAGGATTGTGAGCTTCATATGAATCACTGGATGTGGGGTGTCTGGCGTTCTCTGTTATAGAAAATCTGGAAAATATAGAAGGGGGCCAAAGAAGAAGAAAACCCAGAACATCTTACCACTGGTCCTGCAACTCTGAGCTTTCTCTGTGCTCGGCCATATCGCATAGCAGTGCAAGGACGCGTTTTCATGGCAGTCACCCCACAAGCCACCGAGGCCAGGGACCTGTGCCGTTGTTCTGTGTGTCTGCTCCAGGCTTGGTGTCACCTGTGACTCAAAGTGATCAGAACCAGAGGGGTTTCTTCCCCTTGATGAGGGGAAAGAGCACAGCTCTGAAGTCAGTTAGGCCTCGATTCAGATCATCCCTCTTTGAAGGAGTTTTCTGCTGCTGCGTCACAAATCACCTCAAACCCAGTGGCTTGCAAGCCCCATTGATTAGCTTACAGTTCTGTAGGGGGAGACTGGCTGGAGGAGTCCAGGTGGGCTCTGCTAGCTCCCTGCTTAGCATCTCACCGCGCTTAAGCCCAGGCATCAGCCAGGCTGGCCTCTTACCTGGAAGCTTTGGGAAGAAGCCACGTCCAAGGGCTGGTTGGCAGAATCCAATTCCTGGTGACCAGATAGGTCTGAGGTGCCCCTTTCCTTGCTGGCCATTGGGGGACACGCTCCCCTAGAGGCCATCCACATTCCTTCTCATGTGGTCCCTCCATCTTCCAAGTCCACATGGTGTCCTTTTCACACTTCAGTCTCTCACGCCCTCTCTGCTACCTTAACCTTTGGAAGGTTGTGACTGAGAATTAACTAAAGGGAGGTAGTAAGGGCCTATATGCCTGTTGAGGGTTAAATTTTTTTTTTTAATCCTCAACTGAGGATATGTTTTTATTTATTTTTGAGAGCAAGAGTGAGAGCGAGAGCGAGAGCAACATCGATGTGAGACAGAAACATTGCCTCCAGTACCCGCCCCCACCAAGGATCGAACCTGCAACCTTTTAGTGTATGGGACGATGCTCCAATTAACTGAGCCACCCGGCCAGGGCGAGGGTTAATTCTTTTTAATCCTATCACTAAGCCAGTTTTATTTGAAATCTTGTCTGATTCAGATACAGTGCAGCAGAATTGTAAAGGGCCGTCTTTATCTCAAGTACTGTCGTTCTAGAAAGTTGTCGTGATTCATCATTTTTCTGGGCAGAGGAATGAAAAGAAACAAGAGGGGCCATGTGCCCCGATCAAAACTTTTCAGATTTCCCCTTCCTTCCTTCCCTCTCACCCCCACCCCGAAGCTGAGGCCTCTCCACTTCAGCTGCCGTCTCTGGGAGGGCGGGGTTGGGGTGAGGGCTGGCTGCCTGAGACCTCAGACAAGTGGCGGCCTCGTGTTGGAGGCCTGCCCACCAGCAGCTGGCCCCTGCCACTCAGCGGGGAGGCCGGCGCTGGCCAGGGGGCGAATGAAGACCAGACCCCCGGCGTGCTCACTGGCTCTCTGCCTGTCCCTTCTGTGCTTCCTCAGGAGATCCTCCGAGAGCTCACGCTGGATGCCCTGCTGGACATGAATGAGGCCAAGGTGAAGGAGACGCTGCGGCGCTGTGGGGCCAGTGCGGAGGAGTGTGGCCGCCTGCAGTACGCCCTCACCTGCCTGCGGAAGGTGACAGGCCTGGGTAGGTAGGGCCTGCCTCCCCAGCGCCAAGGCCAGCCCCATTGGCTCCCTCTCCCTCCACCTTGGCTTAGACACCCGCCTGTTCTCCCCAGGCCTAGCCTGGTTCCCTGGGGGCCATGGCCGTTGCTGAGTGGATGATGGGTGGAGCAGGTGTGGCCCAGGGGTCCTGGGGTCGCTTGGAAAGGCCAGGGCAGACATTCAGAAAGTGTGTGGTGGACCTGACCTGGGACAGAGGCTCTCCCCAGGTCAGAGGCTCAGACCTGGCCAGTGCTAACACGGGAAGCTCTAGCCTTTGTTAGAAACCCCAGGCTGGCCTGCCGGGCGGGCCCTGTATGCTTTCCCCTCTTCGGAGAATACTTGTTAGGCTCTGTGACCCCTCCAGCAGCTTCCTGCGTTCCAGCCCCCTCCCCACCCCAGCGCCCCCCAGCCCTCTCCCCACGTCTCTGGTCTCCAGTCCTCACTGGCTGGCTGGGCCGTGCGCTCAGAAGGCACACACCGAGGTGGGCTCGGCCTGAGCCAAAGCAGGATTGGAGATATTATACAGTGTTTCAGCCCTGGGCGTGTGCATGGCTGCCCCTGGCGAAGCGTGTAATCCTGGCATTAGCTGCATTCCCGGGGAATCATTTGCTGGCTTTCTAATTCTTGCCTTGGAGACAACTTCAAACACCCTGACTGTTAATGCTCCCACTACCGACCACACAGATCAGGCTTTGAAATGAGCCTAATGAGTGGAATTAGGTGTGTTTTTTAATTATCTGAGCCACCTGTCGTATTTCTGGCTGCCTGAGGCTTAAGGAAAGCACTGAGGTTTATATTCTGCTTGATTGTTTTATCAGAGGAGACTGGGCTTCATTTCTTCCCCGGCCCCATTGCACCAAGCCCACCTCTGAGCACAGAGCCTCTGCGGAGAGCTTACTCGATTCAGAAAACCTCGATGCGCCAGGCCTCCTGGCAGGTGCAGAGAATGAAATGACAGAGACACGATCAACGAGGAGGAGACCGAGCCCAGAGGGGGGAGTCAAAAGACACACAGCACGTGGAGGCAGAGAGGGGATCTCAGCCTCAGTCTTTGATGGTGGTTGGTTTGTTCCCACATTGTGGAAATTTAAAAGTACTTGCCACCTAAGCTGGAATCTTGGGATAACTTGTCAGCCCTCCCTCTGTGGGCCTGAACTGTAAAGAACTGTGGAGAAGCCAGCTGTCAAGTTGTGGTGACCTCTGTGTGTTGGGAAGGCTGCCGAATGCCAAGATAGGGAGATCGCTAACTTATTAAGCACTAATTTATTAAGCCAGGCACTTGACACGTATGTGGCAACACCCTTTTGAGCGGTGGCAGTAAGCTCCTTTAGCAGCTGGAGCATCGGACGCACTGGGCGAGCTGTCTGCGTTTCACACCTGGCGCATAGCAGAGCTGCGCTTGGGACTCAGGCCTCTTCAACCTCAGGGTGCTTTTCCCACAATGCCCTGGAGGAGGCCCCTCAGGCGAGCATCTTTAACGGTCCTTCTCTCTCATTCGATCTCCGCTTGTGGTGCCTCCACATCCCTGAAAGGGTCCTGATTGTACCCCACCCAAATGGGTCTGCCCTGTGGTGGCCACACCTCAAGGGTACCTGCCGGATGGGGTGGTTACCCGTGGTCACCCTGCCTCTCGGATCATGCAGGCAGAGTCTTCGTTGCACCCAGCGGGCTTGGTGAGAGCAGCCTCGTTGCAGCCTAGCTCAGCCACTTACATCCCATAGGACAGTGATGGCGAATCTATGACGCGTGTCAGAGGTGACTTTTTTTTGGTTGATTTTTCTTTGTTAAATGGCATTTAAATATATAACATAAATATCAAAAATATAAGTCTTTGTTTTACTATGGTTGCAAATATCAAAAAATTTCTATATGTGACACGGCACCAGAGTTAAGTTAGGGTTTTTCAAAACGCTGACACGCCGAGCTCAAAAGGTTCGCCATCACTGCCCTAGGAGCTGGGTCAGTTATTCAGCCCCACTGTGCGCAGTTTCCTCATCTGTAAAATGGAGGCAATAACAACACCTCTCTCATAGGGTTGTTGTGAGGATGAAATGAGTTACAGTCAAGCGCTTAGAACAGAGCCTGTGACACACTCGGTGCTCTTTTCAGTATTAGGCTGTTGTCTGACGGGAAATGTCCAAGTCATTTCCCTGTGGTCTCTGGTATTAAGAAAGGTGAGTGAGGAGGGTTCCCTGTGCCAGTGGCCGTAAACAGGAATATGGTGCCTGCTCTACTCCATAGCACACAGCACCAGTCAGTCCCCATGCTCTTCCTGCTAAGTGACTCCAGGGTCATTCCAAGAGCCACAGCCGATGGCCGGGTGGTGGCACGGGCAGCAAGACCCCCTGTCCTCTCCGAGCTGGTGCAGAGCCCAGCAGTCAGTTTGGAGAATTTGGGGCTTGTTTCTTTGGTGGCAGACTTACTCAAGGATTCATCCTCTGACCAAGAAACATGTCCGTGCTGCCTATCGATTGGTGTAGAAGTTAAAGTGTCAGTTGTGAGTTGTGGCCGCAGTTCTGAAGGGGCACAAGGAACACTCAGACCGAGTGACTCATTCTGCCAAGTTGATTCGTGAAGAGAGGCACCATGAGATGGAGTAGGCGGAAGGGCATTTGAGGAGGGGGTGGAATGCACAAGAAACCCCAAGAACCGTAAAGGCTAACCTCTCTCCACCGTACCCGATAAATGGCTGCGTGGGCTAGGCTTGCCTGCCTCTGATGACAGAGGGCTCATTGCCTGCCACGGTGGAGCCGTGCAGGTTATTCAGGACTGATACCCTTGTGGGAGGAGGCCAGTGCTGTGGTCGGGACATGGGGCTCTGTTCCCATCCTACCACTTGCTTAGCTGTCCGACCTGAGCATTGCAAGTGGCCTCCCTGCATCTCAGCGACCTCACGTGCTGAGAGGATCGGGGGAGACGGGACAAAGCACAAAGTAGAAGGGTTCCAGGGTAGAAGTTCATTTTGTCTGGAGTCACAATCTACCTTCCGGTACATTCTACTCATTGATAAATATGAGGAGGGAGGTATCTTCTCCTTCCCCACAACAGGGTGTCTAGATGGGGTCCTTGCTCCCTGCCCCCACCCCTTCAGTATCTGCCCACCTCCTATAAGGTTAAACCTAAAATCCCCAGCAAGTCATCCAGGGTCCCTCCTGAGCTGGTCCCAGGTGCACTGACCCTCCGCTTCATCTCTTACGTCTCCCTGGCTTGTCCTGACCTCTCAAGGCACGTGGAACTCCTAGTAGGTACCAGAAGGTGCTGTGTGCACCCTACTTTTGCATGGGCTGTTCCCTCTGCTCAGTACACCTGCTGCATCCACCGCTTCCCTCATTGGCTCAGCCCAGGTGCCCCCTCTTTTGGGAAGCCCCCCAACCTCCAGGCCATTTAGGGTCTTCCTCCTCTGTGCTCCCTCGGTCCCCATCCGTCTCCTGGTCAGCACACAACCATGGTGTTGAGTGTCTGTCACCCTCATTGGACTTTCCAGGCTCAGCAGATGTCTTTTTTATGCCTTGATACCCGGCGTCCAGCATGTGCTTGAATGAATGGACAGACTGTGCCATTGAGTTGGAGCCCCACAGAGCCTCGAGGTCTCAGTGGCCTCAGGCAGAGGTCACTATGGGGGCAGCCCAAGGTCATTCACAGGCTTCTCTCATAAGCCAGCGGCTGTTGATCCCTTTCTAGCTGGATCTCTTTTCTAGCAAATTTCCAGGGCAGTTTGCTGTTAGAGGGTTGGTACAGCCCCTTTTCCTGACATTTGAATTTTCTTAAAGTGGAGTTACTTCTCTACAAGCCCCAGCTTGTCTTTCCTAACTCTTCAAAGATCAGTCGCCACTTCCCTCTCTGAAGCCGCCCACTTTGGAGCTGGTTTGCTGGCTTGTTCCCCACAGACCTGCCAGCAGGAGCCCCGCACGAGCTAGTCCCCTCTGGGCCTCATATTCTCTCTGTAAAACAGGGAGAGTAATATCCATGGCGGGGGCCTCACGGTCCGTTAGAAAAGGAGGAAAAAGATGCCTGTGCGTGAGAGGCCTCTATAAACCAGGGGAAGGCTGGTCCTTGAAGCCTTCCATTGAGGAGCTGTGCAGCCCTGCCAGCATGACCCAGTGGTTTGGGCATCGACCTATCAACCAGGGGGTCACGGTTCGATTCCTGGTCAGGGTACATGCCCGGGTTGTGGGCTCCATCCCCAGTGGGGGGTGGGGGGGTGCAAGAAGCAGCCGATCAATGATTCTCTCTCATCATTGATGTTTCTATCTCTCTCTCCCTCTCTATTCCTCTCTGAAATCAATAAAAATATATTTTAAAAAATTTTTTAATAAAAGGAGCTGTGCCAGGTTGGACAGGGTGTTTAACCTCTCTGGGCCCTAGCCACCTCACCTGTACATTCCTCTAGCCCCAGCCTCCTATGACTTGACTTCTCGGCCCACAGGAAGGGAGCACAAAGAGGACTTGGGCTGGAGTTCGTTGGATGCCCGGCGGGAAAGTGGCTCAGGGCCTTCCACGGACACCCTCTCACCTGCCAGCCTGCCCTGGCCCCCAGGGAGCGCCCATCTGGGCAGGATGGGCAGCAATGCCCAGGGTCCCCGCTCCGTCTCCGTGTCAGCTCTGCCCACCTCGGACTTCCCCACCCCTGGCCCCAGCGAGGGCCTCACGGACACCTGTATCCCCCTGCACGCCAGTGGCCGGCTGACCCCCCGTACCCTGCACAGCTTCATCACCCCCCCAACCACGCCCCAGCTGCGACGGCACACCAAGCTGAAGCCGCCAAGGACGCCACCCCCTCCCAGCCGCAAGGTCTTCCAGCTGCTGCCCAGCTTCCCCACGCTCACCCGGAGCAAGTCCCATGAGTCTCAGCTGGGGAACCGCATTGACGAGGTCTCCCCAAGTACTTACTTGACGAGGTAAGTACTCCGGCCAGACAGCTGTTGACTTTGCAATCCGCTGAAAGTTTTGTCTACAGTTTTCTCATTATAAAGGTAATATAGACTTAATTGGAAAAGAACATAACATCAACTAATATATAAGTATGTACAGTGAAAGGAACCCCTGTCTCTCAGTCTACTCCCCAGGCTACCTTAACAGCTTGGGCTGAATCTTACTAGATTTCCTTGCAAGTGGTATGTACAGTGAAAGGAACCCCTGTCTCTCAGTCTACTCCCCAGGCTACCTTGGGCTGAAGGGCTGAATCTTACTAGATTTCCTTGCAAGTGTGCACACGCACACGCACACACACACACACACACACACACACACACAAATGAAACGATGCCATGTATCAGTCAGGATAGACTGGATTCTGCTGCAGTGACAAATAACCCCCAGGTCCCTGGGTCTTCAAACAAAGATTTATTTCTTGCTCATGCTACCTGTCCATCATGGGTTGGCCCATTCCAGGTCCCAGGCTGAATGTTCCACTGCGGTAGGGGAAGAAAGCAATTAAACGCTCTTTCCTGAAAGTTCCACTCACCACTCATGATCCTACCCAAAAAAAGGAGCCAGGAAATGTAACTCCCACGTGCCCAGAAGAGAATGGAATATCTGGCTGAAACCTCTAAGGATGATAAAAAACCATGCACTCTGTCCTATAACCTACTTTTTCAACTTACCTTGATATCTTGAGAACTTCATGTCAGTACTCTTATTTTTTTGAATATTTTTTTATCTGTATTTTAAATAGGTAATAACAGTCACATGGTCCAAAATGCAAAAGCTTCGTAGCTCGTGTAGTTTATTCATCTTTTTAGGGATGTATAGTATAAAGTGACCCCCTACCATGTCCTTAATCACCCAGTTCCCCTTTCAGGAGCAACCAGGTTATTGGTTCGGTATATATTTATAGTTATCCAAATGCCTCATCTTTTTCTCATTTTTATGTCATTGTATAGGTTAACTCCTCCCCTCTTGGTGGACATTGAGTTCCTTGTCATTTTTGTTGTTTGTTATTACAAAAATGCCTTTGTCAACATACCCTTGTGGGCAGGGTGAAACGGCATCGCAGTGGGCAAAACCCAGGGTGTCTGCTGCTCATTTTCCCCACAAAGAGCATTAGGAGGGCTCTGGTCTCATCCTGGCTCCAGGCGGAGAACAGAGCCTCGGGCAGGTGCCACCTCTGCCTCAGGTCCCACCACCTGTGAGCTGGCCTCGAACCCTGGGGCTCTGAGTCTCTTCTCCACAGAGCCAGCAGAAGTAGCGCTGGTCCGGACACTCAGGCCACACTCAGGCCACCCGCTGCCCTCAGGGAGCCCCGAGGGCAGGCTGAGTGGCCTGGTTTCCCCAGCTCTCTCTCTCCCTCTGACAGCATTGCTCAGGGCATGTCCCCACCTGGCCCTGCTTGGAGGTCAGCTTTGTGCTCCACACTGTTCTCCCTGCCCTCCTGCCCCAGCCGGTTCCTCTCTGGCAGACTGAGCCCGCCTCCTGCCAGGGGAACTCTAATTACCGTGCTGGTGGCAGCGAGGCTCAGAGAAGCTGATGTATGAGAGTGCACAGATATAGCTTTGTCCCCACGGGGGGCCCAGGAGGGCACCTCTAGTCCTTCCCATTGGGGAAAGTCCCCACATTCCCCAGCCGTCCTAGCCCCACACCCTAGGTGCTCAAAGTCCTCATCCAGCGCCTTGCCCCTCCCTCCCCGGGATGATGTTCTGGGGGACACGTGGAGCCAGCACGGTGCCCTAATCCTGCTTTCTTTCTCTCTTTTCTGTCTCCTCCAGGTTTGGTAAGAGTGATTCATTTTCGTCCCCTCCCTCTGCCGCCGGGAGCGGTGTGTGTCTCGCTGTCCCCATCGGGGTGGATGCCTCTGACCCTCTCTTAGTGCACCTGGCCTTTCCATGGTCCAGAAGCAGAGGAGCTGGGAACTGCCTCAGGACATCACGCTAGGACAGGTGGCCCCCACGGGACGAGCTGGCCTCAGCCCAGCCAGCAGCCTCTCAGTGTCACTCACAGTCGGTGGGCAGATCCCATGGCAGGCCCTCCCCAAAGGTGACCTCTGGCAGGGAGTGTTCACCCGCTGGGCTGCGGCCGGAACCCCGCCCTCCTGGGAGGAAGGTACTACCTGTCTGGCGTAGATGGACATCAGCCACCTGCAGACCCCAGCTGACGTCTCAGGGCCCGGCTCTGCAGGACAGGGACATCCTTGGGGCAGGAAGGCGGCTCGCCTGTGAGTGAGGCCCTGAGGTTTGCCCTCAGGAGGTGAGGAGGAAGCCCAGGCGGGCAGCCTGATCTCCGTCCCTCCCTCCACCTCTGGGTGGGAGCAGGTTCTTTCACGTGGCTCCGCTGTGGGGCTTCTCTCCTGAGTCAGCGCAGCGGGAAACAGCGAGCCTCTGGAGCTGCTTGTAGTTGTCCCAGTGGACGCAGATCCTCTTCCCCTGAGCCAAGTAGCAGTTTACCTTTGTCCTGCCCTGAGCTGGCTAAGCAGAGAGCTGAGGAGGGGATGTCAGGTACTGGCTTGGAGCTGGGCTGGTGCAGGACCACCAGGGAGGCTGCGCTTCCCCTCCCCAGGGCACAGGCGGGAGCTCGGGGCCCTCACCGAGCCTGCGTCCCTGGGGCAGTCTGGCCCTCGTGTCCTCCCGGGTGCTGTGTGATGCAGGGTCCACACCGTGAGGCCGCTTCTCCAGCTGCGGGAAGGCGGGATGAGGCCTGCAGGGCCGGCATTTCATCTCGTGAGGGGCAGGCGATGCCTGGCACACGTGCCCTCTCTCCTCCCTGTATCCCGTGCCCATGGCAGACATTGCAGATCAGTCACAGGCTTCACTCAGAGATTGATGATTGAAATCTCGCTTTCCCACCGTCTGTTTCTCTTAGGCCGACAGCCTAACCCCTTTTATTTTACTTATTTATGTATTAAATATATGTTTATTGATTTCAGAGAGGAAGGGAGAGGGAGAGAGAGAGAAATGTTAACAATGAGAGAGAATCATTAATTGGCTGCCTCCTGCACAACCCACACTGGGGATCGAGCCCGCAATCCAGGCATGCGCCTTGACGTGACCTCCTGGTTCATAGGTTGATGCTCAACCACTGAACCACACTGGCCGGGCAACCGAACCCCTTTTAGACCATGTGCTTTAATGGCGTGGCTGCTGTTGCCTGGGGTGAGCCCCAGGAGGGAGTTGGGAAGTCAGCGCGTGGCAGATGTGCTGGCGAGAGCTGCAGGGGGTGCAGCGTGGGTCCTGCATCCGGGGCAGCACAGGGCCTTTGGTCCCTGCGTGGGAGGAGTCAGCACTCCAGCACGCCCTCTCCTGGTGGTTGGGTCTGTGGGACTCGGCCTTAAGTGAACCAATACTTAACGAGCACCAGCTGTGTGCCAGGCCAGCTCCCAGGCACCGGGAGGGTGCAGTGGCCTTTGGGGGGGGGGGGGGGGGGGGGGGGGGGGGGGGGGCTGCTGACTTGGAGGACCCGGGATGGCCCCAGATCCTTAAAGCACCATGTTCCTGACCTTTCTGGGTCCCAGGTGTCTGATCATTGGATGAAAGTCTAGGACAGTGGTTCTCAACCTTCCTAATGCCTCGACCCTTTAATACAGTTCCTCATGTTTTGGTAACCCCCAATTTCATTGTTACAAATTGAACATAATTAAAGCATAGTGATTAATCACAAAAACAATATGTAATTATCTATGTGTTTTCCGATGGTCTTAGGCGACCCCTGTGAAAGGGTCATTCGACCCCCAAAGGGGTTGCGACCCACAGGTTGAGAACCGCTGGTCTAGAATCTCTTTCCAGAGGGTTCCCAGACCCGCCCAGGGGTTCAGTTGAGAACCTATTCCAGGAGGACCGAGGCCTTTGGAGCTGGGAAGGAGGGGGTGGGGAGCAGGGGTCCCACATGTGGAGGAGGGGAGGGAGGGAGGAGGGGAGGAGGGAGCTGGTCGTGTGTGTAGGCTGCCCCTGGATGGGGGGATCGCTTCCAGCTGGTCCTCCACTGCCAGCCTGTGATGCTCAGGCACTGGGGCTGCCTGTTCTTCTGGGGAAGCCAGGCTTAGGAGGAGAGCCCAGGCGCCCTCTAGGGGGACAGGCAGAAAGAGCACCCCACAGCCTGTGGCCTGAGACTTCCCCCAAGACCCAGACTGATACCAGGTGAGGCCAGGCCCCGTGGGAGCTCTCAGCAAGGCTAGGGAGGTGCTGCTGCACAGCTCACCAGCCTCCAGCCCTCTGCCAAGGGTCAGGCAGCGTCCACCACTTAACAAGAGTGACCAGACTGCAGCCCTCGCCAACTGGTGCCTGGGGGCGCATCCACGAGACAGTGCAAGAGGTGGGGGTGTGGAGGCCTCTGCCCTCACACACTCTGCCTTCTGCCTGTCACGCCCGCCTTCCCCCGAAGCCAGAACCGTACAGGCCGGACGGTAACGTTCGTTAGAGAAGCCGGCCATGTGTGAGGGTGGCCACGCCGCCCCTGGTTAGCCAGTCCTGTCCCTGTTTTGATAGATGCCGGTTCAGGGACATTTCTCTGCCATTCAATACGTTTCCGTGCCCATCTGGCTTGCGATCTCTGACATAGAAGGTCACAGGCGTGGGCCCTCCCTGCAGGGCTTCCTCGGCCCGCCTGATCTCCCTCTTCCCCTGCAGATCTCCCCCACGGCTCCCCACAGATGGTACGGAGGGACATCGGGCTCTCGGTGACACACAGGTAGGCCCAGCCGGGCAGGGTCACAGCTGGGCGGGGACCCGCACGTGCCGGGGTCGCACTTCAGCATAGGGGCTCTGTCCCGATCCCTCTTTCTCAGGGCTCTTTGCCTCTGCTCTGTCTCCATCACCTCCTTGGGTCTCTTCCCAGTCTGCTGAGGGCAAACACAGGTCCCAGGAGAAGCAGGGTCACAGTCTTGGGGAGGAGGAGCCAAGAGCTTCTTCTGAGTCCCACTTGATATCCTGTGGCTCTTACAACCGTCCACACACCAGCGCCCCATTGGGCTTGTTGATGCTCCAGACTCCGGGCCGCACCCCTGAGGCCGAGGCCTGGCGTCTGGGTCTCCAGCAACTTCCAGGGCTGGCACTCGTGTTTGGGGAGGGCTGATGGCCACGGGAGCCTTGTCCGTCCATCATGTGACACCAGTATCTGTTGGATCGGGTCCTAAGATGGATTGCTGGCTCAGAGGGTCTGCACACTGATCCTTCTGGTTGCTGTTGCCAAGTTGCCTGCCAAAGAGCTGGCACCCATGGCCACACCAGTGTTGGGGTTTTGACAGTGATGACTTCATGGCTGGACAGTCTGAATGGGGGGAGAGGGGGAGGCGTGGGCAGGAGGCAGTGGCCCCTGGGTGTCCCAAACTCCCAGGGAGAGGGTGCCTGGGGCTCTGGGTGGGAACCAAGTCTCCTGATTTCCCTGGGCTGTTAGGAGACCCTTGTCTATCCAGGCCCTGCTCTCCCGGCCCCTGAGAGCACTTCTGTGTGTCCACCCGCTGCAGGTTCTCCACCAAGTCCTGGCTGTCGCAGATCTGCCACGTGTGCCAGAAGAGCATGATGTTTGGAGTGAAGTGCAAGCATTGCAGGTGATGGGCGAGGGTGGCCGGGGTGGGAGAGGGGAGCCAGCTCCATACTTGTCGTTTAGTCACAGTCTCGCGCCTGGATTATTGGCCTTAGGTCAGGTCAGAGTTCAAAGGGTGCCCCTCAACCTACGATTCATGATCCCATTCAGCACACCCAGGAGTGAGCAGCCCTCTTCAGGGAGAGGAAGGGCGCATCAAGCAGGGCACTCCCAGAGAAGGGACCATTTGAGGTGGGCTTTGAAGGATGTGCAGACGTTTGCCAGGTGGACAAGGAGGAGTTCTGAAATTAGCCTCACATGTTAGCACACAAGGATAGCAAACGGGGGCAGGCTATGATAAGAACAGCGATGGCTTGTGGTCCTTCCAGAAGGAAAGAATGCGGATTCTGTACAAGCCCAACTTTCTTTTTTCAGACCATTGTGGTCCCTGGTAGGAGAGAAGGACAAGGATAGGGAACAGTGTGGTGTGAGCAGAGTCTGTCCCCTGCTTCCTGGCCGCCCTCACCTCACAGAGGGTGGCCCTGGCATCTCTGCTCCCACCCACTTCGCCCCTGCATTGCTGTGTGACATGGGGCGAGCTGCTTGCCCTTTCTGGGCCCCATTTTTGTCATTGCTGCATCTAGGAAGAGGATTCCAGGTCTCTGTCCATCAGGATGGCTCTAAGAATCTGAGCCAGTCGGAGTGAAAAAGGCATGTGGGTTCCCACGAGCCTGTAGGGGACGGGCCTCGTCCGTGTCAGTTGGATAAATCGTGTTTCCCTGGTGGGCGGCTCTCCTGACCACCGAGGAGATGCCAGAGCTAGGTCTGTGGTGGCTCCCGGCCAATTGGCTTTAAATCGGGGGGCCTCCGGCTCCTTTCAAGTGGTGCCTTTCACATGGGGAGGGTGACTCCTGAGCCCAACGCTGCAACTGCGGGGTGAGGTTGGCAGGCCCATCTGTCAGTGAGAGCCCCCAGACGCAGGGCAGCAGGCAGGTCCAGAACGAGGACTCCGCCCTGCTGACCCTCTGACCACGTGGTCCGTGCTGGAATGTGGTGGGAGGGGCTGCCCCGCATCCCTGGGGCATCCTTGGTGCGGCAGACATTCTCTGGAAAAGAGAAGCAGATGTGGGACCCACCGTGACAGTCCAGATGGGTATAGTCAAACCTCCCGTGCTCTAGGCCTGACAGACAACAGCAGGAATGTGGTCACGCTCAGCAGAGAGTAGCCGCGAGGACTGTCCACATCAGTTCTCCATTTCCGAGCTCATGTCTGTTGAGAAATTTGTGGGAATTGGGGCATCCAGGGTGAGGTGCACGGGGCGGCCAGGCAGTGCCTCTGCACCCCCGTCCGTGCCCAGGGAGGCCGCGTGGCCGTCCACGCACTGACCCCGCCTCCTTCCCCAGGTTGAAGTGTCATAACAAGTGCACCAAGGAAGCCCCCGCCTGTCGGATATCCTTCCTTCCAAGTGAGTGCTGCGCCCTCCTCTCCTCTCCTCTGCCTTGGGGGCGAGTCTCTCTCTCTCTCTCAGTCTGTTCCCTGCTGATGGTTTCCCCTCTCCAGTAGCTCGGATTCGGAGGACGGAATCTGTCCCTTCGGACATCAACAACCCGGTGGACAGAGCAGCCGAGCCCCATTTCGGAACCCTCCCCAAGGCACTGACAAAGAAGGTACGTTGGACGGTGGCCTGGGGGGTCTGTTGCTTCTGCCAGGAAAGCCCCCCACCCGGATTCCTCTCTGTGAAGCCCCCTGATGCGGGGGTCCAGCAGGACAGTGCAGTCCACATCTGGGGCCAGAGGGACCTTCAGGAATGCTATCTTTAACCATGTAGCAAACTTCCCATTTCCTAGTACATGCCCGTAACCCGTGCCCTGCCCCAACTCGCCCTTTTGGAGCTGATATTTCACTGCCTGTGAGTCAGGAACTTTCCCAGTGGTGTTTCCTTTGACCTTCATGCTGACATCACCTCCATTTTACAGACGAGGAGACTGAGGACTGGGGCCCCTGTGAGTGAGAGACAGGCCCAGCCGCAGTCCCAGTGCAGCAAACCTTCAGAAGTAACCCGTGCAAGTGCATTTCTTCCATGGCCTGTGGCCGGGCTTCTCGCCTAATGCACAGACAGACTCCCTGCAGCTAGACAGATTCTCGAAGGCCCGTGTCCCCCACGATGGTCCCCAGGCCCGTCTGGGGCCCCCATGCACAGGGGTGCGTGGTGTCTGTGAGGCACCCATACAGAAGTAACCCGTGCAAGTGCATTTCTTCCATGGCCTCTGGCCGGGCTTCTCACCTAATGCACAGACAGACGCCCTGCAGCTAGACAGATTCTCGAAGGCCTGTGTCCCCCACAATGGTCCCAGGCCTGTCTGGGGCCCCCGTGCACAGGGGTACTGGTATCTGTGAAGCACCCATGCTGATGGCTTCTGCAGCCACCCCCATCCTGGTGACCACGGAGTGGGTGGCCTCCCCCAGGCGGCTATGGGTGTGGCTGTGTGTTTCAAGTATGTTGTGTCCCAGCCCCAGACCAGGGCTTAGCATGTACTTGCCTCTCTGCTGAGGGCCAGGGGACTGGCTGCCCCTGTCTGTGTCTGGCCTTTGGTTTGGGGCAGCCTGGGTGGAGGTTTGGGCAGAGGGCACTGAGGCAGGTGGCGGGGCCAGTTAACGGGGACGCGGAGGATGCCGCCTGGAGGGCTGCTCCACCTGGTGTCTCTGTGGGCCCGCTCGTGTCTTCTCTCCTGTCTGCCTGGCATCACCTTGCCCTCTGAGGATGCCATTCCCACCAGGAATGGAGAGGGGAGGGCAAAGGTGGTAGGCTCCACAGTCCTGGGTTCGAGTCCTGACTTTTCCCCTTTGTTCTGTGACTTTGAGTGCATTCCTGTCCCTCTCTGAGCCTCCGTTTTCCTATCTTGTAAAGTGGGAACAATGATCTTCATTCACAGGGTGTTGTAAGGATAACGAGATGATAGTCATGAACTTACTTGTCAGGATTAGTGCCTGGCACAGATGGGCGCACTTCCTTGGTAGAATACCATCCCCCTGATCTGCCACTCCCCCCTTGGCAACTTGTTTCTACACTTGCCCACTCTTCTCCAACTACACCAAGTGCGTTCCCTTCCTCACATGGTCCTCACGCCGTCCTTGCACACCCCTCACCGCCTCATGTCCATGCACACCCTGGCATGTGCACGTCAGCATTTCTGCCCACCCGGACACCCACCCCTCACCCTCCTGCCACTGGGTGGGCCTGGCTAGCACGTCTGCAAAAGAGAGGAGGGAACACTGTTAGGCAGCTGCTGTGTGCCACATACAAAGCGAATACTTGTCAGGGTCTGAATTGAATTCATTAAAAAACCCCTACTATGTGCTGGCTCAGAGCCAGGCCCTGGGGTCTGCTGAGCAGGCGTGGTCCCTGCCCTGCCCTCACAGGACACGATGGTGGGAGAGACATTCTTCAGAAAACCACCCAAGATTCCTGCAGTTGGCAAACATAGTGAAGGGCCCTGATGCGAAGTGCTGGGAGCTCTGGGAGGATAGAGGGGAGGAGCGCGGTCCCAGCCAGGGCTCAGGCAAGGCTTCTGAGGGGAAAGGATGTTTGAGCTGAAATCAGATGAGCAGGAGTCCTCTAGGGGGTGGGCATTGAGGTAAAGATGTCAGTGTACCATCCTTCCTTCAAATATTAGACCGGAAAACGTCAGGATACCCTGGGCTCACCTCTTCGCTTTTACCCGGGGAAGGGAGGGTTCCAGCAAGGGGTGCGGGAGGCAGCCGGGCGGGGCAGTGACAGTCCTTACCCACTTCCTGTGTCTCTGGTCCTGCAGGAGCACCCTCCAACCATGAACCACCTGGACTCCAGCAGCAACCCGTCCTCCACCACGTCCTCCACGCCCTCCTCGCCGGCTCCCTTCCCAACATCGTCCAACCCGTCCAGTGCCACCACGCCCCCCAACCCCTCGCCCGGCCAGCGGGACAGCAGGTTCAACTTCCCAGGTACCACACCGCCGGGCTTTTGGGGGGCTCTTAGGGATGGGGTCACATGCACCTTCTCAGCACACCCCAGCAGGCTCAGGGTCAAACACTGCAGCCACTGAGAGCACTTGCGGGGAGCCAGGCACTGTGCCCAGCTCAATTACATTACCGTATTTAAACTTGATAACAGCCCTGAATTGTACCCATTTTACAGATGGGAACACAGAGGTTCAGAGAGAGGAAGTGACTTGCCCTGCGCTGTACAGCATGTAAGCAGTAGAGCAAGATCAAAGCCAAGTCTGTCTGACATGAAGCCTGTGTTCTTGACAGAACCCCCATGCTGCCCTCCTGCACATGCCTGGCTCAGGGCTTCTGAGCTCCCAGGGAGCCAGGGCGGGTCCAGAAGGCCTGGGAGAGGGGATCCGGCCTCTGTCACTTACCTGCTCTGAGATCTGAACCAGCTACCGAAACAGAAGTGTTGGTTCCCTTTTCCATAAAACTAGAGACCCTGTAGAGTTGGAATTAGGTTATCCCCCAGGTGTAGTTGATGACACTGAGTCCCACAGGGCCGACCTGACCAGAGCTGGCCGGACTCTACCACAGCCCAGGCTGCCCTGGGGTCTGTAGGGCCAGGACCCCTTTTTCTTGGCCAAACCTGGGGTGTGCTGCCTCCCCAGGGAGAGGAGCGGAGCCCATGTGTCCATTTGAGGACTGAGCCCCGGCCTTGGCCTCCCTGGCAGCTCCAAGTAGGTCTTGGCCTTCAGTGTATTCAGTTGGCAGCCTGGAGGAAGAAGGGGAGCTGGGATGCTCCAGTTTTCTCCTGGCCGAGCCACAGGCCCAATGCCAGCTTCAGCCCATGGAGTCCAGGGCAGGTCCCACCTGTCACTCCAGGCCCAGGAGGACAGACGTACAGCTCTCCCTGTGCCAAGGGACCCAGCTGGGCCGCCCGCAGCCAGCAGGAGGCCTGGCAACCTCTCTGGGCCCATCTCAGCAGGGTTCTAGGGACTTCTTCAGGGGATGGGGAGAGACTGCCTTTGTAGGAATCTTTTTTCTCTTTTGCTGTCCCTTCTCCTTAATCCGCACGTGGCTGGGTATCTTCTGACACGAATGCATCGTCATGACCCTACCCGTCCCGCCCTGCTATTGAGCGATGGCCTATTTGATTAACCTCCTCTCCCATTCTGCTTTGTCATTAATATGCTCTGAAACTGGGCCTTCGGCTAAACCTCCTGGTTTGGATTTTTCTAAAAGAAAGGGCCTGTTTGAAAAACAGCAGCCACAGAGAGAGCGCTTTGTGTGACGTCAGCCAGCGTCTCGGCTTTCCCCGATGCCCCGCGCTGGGCCCGCATTGTCCGCTGCACAGAGCCCTCACTCTCTCCGGGACCTGTTAGCTCTCTGGTCACCGCAGTGTCCGGGCCGGGCTGGTCGGGGGTGTTAATCTTGGAGAAAAACCCCTGCCGTCCACCACCCTGCTGTGCAGGAGCATTTCAGCTTATCTTCAAGAATAAACCTGGGGGAAGGTTATTCCTACCCCGTTGTGCAGTACAACTGGAGAGGTTAACAAACTTCCCCAGGTCCCAGAGCCTCGTAAATGGCAGAGCTGAGGGTAGAGGCGTGCTGTCTGAGTTCAGATCCCCGGCGAGCCCCCTTCAGTTTTCCATAAGAGAGGATGTTCTTCCCTGGAAGGTACGGTCGAGTCCCAGCACCACGGTCAAATGTTTTCAGAGTCATTGCTCTCCCCGTTGATTTTACCCTCCTGGGCCCGTGCACATTTCACAGAGAAGCAGGCCTGAGAGGGGAACGGAATGGGCCGGGGCTCTGCAGCAGGGTGGCCGTGGAGGCTGGGTCTCTGAACCCCAGTCCTCAGGGCAAGCCCCTTCACTCCTGGGGGCTCCTGCCAACACCCGCTCTCCCAGCTTCTTTTCTCCTTCCTGCATGGATCACCCTGTCCTGGCCAGGCCCACCGGGGGCATGCCTGCCCCAGCCCGATAACCAGCCGCCCTCCAAGCCCATGCCTGTGCCCCCTCCCCTTCGCTTCATTTGCTGTTCTGTGTGTGACTCACCTCCTCTTCTGTTTAAAGCTGCCTACTTCATTCATCATAGACAGCAGTTTATCTTTCCAGGTGAGTCCTTTGCATGATTCCACTAACTGTCCTCTGCTGTGACCCCTCTGCCCAGCCCACCTGGGCACCCTCACCCTCGGCACCTTGGAGGTGCTTGAGTCTCAGATCCGCCTGTTTTGAGAGCTGCCTGTCTGTTGAGGCTGGAAATGGGGGCAGGGTGAGTAGAAGCCTTCACAGGGGCAGTACCTTGCTGGCAGGGATCGTGGCATCCATCCTGTCCAGCCCCTTGGACAGAAACTATAGGCAATTTGTCCAGGGTCACATGCCAGGAGGTGGCAGGAACTCCTTTTGCATAAGTGGCGGGGGGGGCGGGGAGGACTTTTTTTTATGCCTTCTGCGCATCTGTCATGGTCTGCTCCTCCGAACACTGACCAGGAAACTGCTTATCTCACAGAAGCCAAAGCCAATTTGGGAAGGTCCACAGGCTTCCCTTACTCAGTGGGCTTCACCTTCCAGAGCCTTGTCGCATGGCGCCATCTGCTGGCCACTTATTGGAAAAGCCGCCTCAATGAAGAAAGAAAACTTATGACGATCATTTATTGATTCCCTTCCACAAAAATTGTTTTGCGCACCTACTATGTGCCAGTCTTTGCATTTGGCCATATTCCTGCCCCTAAGGCATTTATCCGGTCAGTCCTTATTTCTCTAGCTGAAGGTGACAAGCACCATTATAAGCAATCTGCCACTTTAAATCTTAATTTAGCCATGTGAAGGTTTAGTTTTAGACAAAGTCTGTAGCTAATTGTTTTTTTCCCAGTTTAAAAATGTCTGTGCTGAAGTCATGGTAGTTTGGTTATTCCAGGCTCTTCTATTAGGGGAGTGGCTTGGAGCATTTGTCAGTTCTTAGAGGATCATCCATAGGGTATCACAGGCGCGCAGGCTGGCTGGGTCAGGGGCAGGCTCCCCGAGCTGCCTCCGTGGTTTCATACCAGTTGTTGCTGTGGTTTCCCTCAGGAGCCTGCTGGCTCTAGGATGGCGTGCAGGGCAGTGCCTGGAAGCATTGGGAAAACGTGCCTCTACTTCCAAAAGGATACATTTTGCTCTGCAGATGTGCTGTGTGGAAGGGAAGGAAACTATTTCCATTAAAACAAACATGGACACATTTTGGAGCAGAATGCAAAGTATGGGGCTTCAGAGACGTTTTGTCCTCCCACCGGAGTGCTGCTTCTCCCTGAACCCCCACCCCAAGCATGATTTTCTTCCGTGGAAACATTTGAGCGGTGTTGGATGGGAGAAGTGTCAGGCCTCCCTGGCAGTCTGCGGACACGAGACAGCGGTGCTTGGAGGAGGCCTTAGCAGCGGCTGCCCGGGCCTGGGATCTCCCAGAGCCTGTGCACTGGATGTTGGGCACACGCGTGCGTTTCCTTGATAAGAAGGCCTGCGGCTGCTCTCAGATTCTTTATGTCTGTGAGCTTCCAGAGAGGTTGAGAACTTGTGGTTCAGATACCGACTTCTGCGCATGGGCCACGAAGTTTCAATTGCACTGTACGTGCGCACCCGCACGTGGTATTTTGTGGAAGAGCCACACTCAAGGAGCCAAAGAGCCTCATGTGGCTCGTGAGCCACAGTTTGCCAACCACTGGCCTAGGAGAAAGCCCTGGAGTGAGATCGAGGGAAGTTTGATGGCCGATGGGGAGGCTCTTTGTCCTAGAAGACAGGGAGAGGCTCGATTAGCCTGAGCCACTGCTAACTCCAGTTTATCTTCTTTAGCTGATAAAAGAGGAGGGAGCGAGGGGCCCAGCCGGCCCCGGGGCTGCCAGTCTCCCCGAGTGCATTGGCGAGAACAGAAGGAGGCAGGCAGCAGGAGCAGCTATGGAGGCCTTGGCCTTATGTAACACACTGGTTTCGCCCTGGGTGGCCATCTCTCAGGTGTCCCTGTGCAGCTTCTGGTGCTAACACTGGGAAAGCCCCAGACTCAGGGGGCGGCCCCAGCTGGCGTGTGGGCTGTGTGTTTCTTCCTCTCCCCTGCGAGCTGTCCACCAGCGGACCAAACCTGGAAGCCGAGGGGGCAGGGCTCCAGCTCCTGCCAGAAATTCCCAGCCCCGGTGCCAGGCACCAGGTGTCCCTCACGAGCCACCTGTGAGTCCTCCTTCCGCCTCCACTGGCCACCAGCCCGGCCTCCAAGCAGAGCAGGAGGGCCTGGCCCACATCCAGTAAACAGTAGCCCAGGTTGCTTCCACCACTTGCTGGTATGAGGCAGTTAGACCACAGGGGAATGGCGTTCACTGAGACTTCATCCTCCTCGCCCACCTGGGGCCCCTCTGGGACAAACCAAGTGCTGTAGAGGCTGTGTTCAGGTTCCGTTTCAGGAAAAGCACAAGGTGGCCCCGTGGGAAGGGCTGGAGAACCCGTGTGTAGCCCTGTGAGGGGCGGCTGGGGGAGAACCCACTTCCCTGCGTGTAAGCGCTGTGTCTTTCACGGGGGTGGGAAGGTGGTCTCACGCTTCGTATTTGCTTTTTGTTTCCTCCAGACATTTCCGCATTTCCACCGGCAGCCCCGTTCCCCGATGCAGCGGACAGCACCCGGTAGGCATTCCCGTGCTGTGTCCCCTTTCTCCTCCATGGGGACTTGTGGCAGCTGGATCCACATCTCTGACCGTCTCCCCCCACCCCGTGAACCTCTGACCTCCCACTTTGCATATGGGCCAGCCAGATGGCAAACGGCTTGGGCTAAGGCACCCTAGGCCCCTGAGCTCAGCCAGAGGGTTTTATTCGCCTCTTATCGGTGCAGTCAACATTGGGTGGGGCGGTAAACCTGACCCAGGAGGAGGGGGCAAAGGGTACTCAGAGTTATAGAAACTACTAGAAATAGCTCCTGCTCATGCAGCCCTAGCTCAGTGTCAGGCCACGCTGAGCACCTGACTCAGGTTCCCAAGTAGGTACATCCTCAGTGTATAGATGGGATCGCCAGCTCAGAGAGGTTAAGAAACTGCATAAAGTCACACAGCCGGGACGTACCAGAACCAATTCTCAAGTAGAAACTCAAGTTCTGTGCTTGTGTTGGAACCTCCATACTGGCTGTCAGGTTGAAAGGGCCTTGGTGGTCCCTGCCGCCCCCCGCTCCCCCGCCAACCCCGCCACCCTCGGGTTAGTCTGGAGAAGGCCGAGGCTGGAGAAGGGAATGGGGCCTGGTCCTCCGCCTCCTGACTGTTTCCACAGCATCCAGACCTCCTTTCCCATAGGTGAGGGTCAAAGTCAGGATCCAGGCCTGGTGGCCTCTTCTCAGAACTCACAGGGGAGTCCCCGGCCCAGCTGAGAGCGGAGTGGCCCACCCTCAGGGCCTCCTTGACAAACCCAATTTTACTCTTAGGCTCGACGACCAGCCGAAGGCAGACGTGTTGGAGGATCATGAAGTAGAGGTGAGCCTAGACAGCGCCTTCTCTCCCCCCTCCCTCTTTCCCTCCAGCTCAGCATGCAGAGCCGGTTAGGCGCCGGGCCCTGCGAGGCCACCTCAGGTGCCTGCTGCAGCAGATGTGGCCAGATGTGCTCGGCAGGGAAGAAGGATGAGGAAGCAAGCTTCCCTTTGCTTTTCTATTTTGGAGGCTAAAGTCAGCTCTTAATGCCCATGATTCCCACCCCCAGCCTGGAGGCCCGGGCCCAGCCCGGGAGACTCTGCTTCAGCCCGTCTAGGGTGGGGCCAGACATCTGTTACCAAAGCTCCCCAGCTGATTCTGATTGTAGCCAAGGCCAACACCACTTGACCCTTGAACCACAGTGTCAGCCGAGCCTGGCTCCCTGCAAAGCGAGCAGAATGTTAACTAACTCCTGCCCAGAGAAGAGTCAGACGCTTGTGCTTAAACAAAAGAACACCCAGGAAGCATGAATGCGGTTCAATTCTTCATGCTGGGGATGTCTGCGCTTCCCCAGGGATCAGATGTCACTCATAGGGAGCTCTTGGCGTGTTAGGCCTCCCCCCCATCCCCCTCTCCCCGGCCAAGGCCTGTATTTCATGGATGAGGACACTGAGGTGCCAAGTGACCTGCCTATTGTCCACACAAGCCAGTGCAGGGCTGGCACCGGGACCCGGGCCTCCCAACCCTGTGCCCGTCCTCCTCCCTCACCTGATCGGGGCTCCGGGGAGGGGGAGTCAGCAGAGCCCAGATCTGCTGTCCCTCAATTCCTTCCTCCTGTCCTTCCAGGCCGAGGAGCCGGAGGCTGGCAAGTCAGAGGCAGAAGACGACGAGGACGAGGTGGACGACCTGCCGAGCTCCCGCCGCACCTGGCGGGGCCCCATCTCCCGCAAGGCCAGCCAGACCAGCGTGTACCTGCAGGAGTGGGACATCCCCTTCGAGCAGGTGGAGCTGGGCGAGCCCATCGGGCAGGGCCGCTGGGGCCGCGTGCACCGTGGCCGCTGGCACGGCGAGGTGGCCATCCGCCTGCTGGAGATGGACGGCCACAACCAGGACCACCTGAAGCTGTTCAAGAAAGAGGTGATGAACTACCGGCAGACGCGGCACGAGAACGTGGTGCTCTTCATGGGGGCCTGCATGAACCCGCCCCACCTGGCCATCATCACCAGGTAACCCCGCCCCGGCCCTCGCTGGGGTGGCCGCCTCGGCCTCACCTTCCCTGGGGGCCCTGATACTTATGTGGGTGCCCTGGAGAGGGTGGAAGATTTTTGGTTTTAGTTAAATTTATTTTTCAGTTATAGTTGACATGCAACATTATATTAGTTTCAGGTGTACAGCATAGTGATTGGACATGGATACACCCCCATTTTGCTTGTTTATCAGAAACAGACATAAGTTACCACCCACCAGAACCTCTGAGCAGTGCGAGGTCACCCGCCACCACACCCGGGGACAAAATGCCGGCCCAGAGCACGACAGCGTGGTTCCTTAGGCAGCCTTACGGTGGTGACGCCAGCTCCACAACCCCCACACCCCAGGCGCCAGCGCTGTCCGTCTGTCCTTCCATCCTTCCATCTCTTACCCACCCAGTCCCATAAAAGATCTGAGCGGTTCTCAACCTGTGGATTGCGACCCCGTTGGCGGTGGAACGACCCTTTCACAGGGGTCGCCTAAGACCATCCTGCATATCAGATATTTACATTACGATTCATAACAGTAGCAACATGACAGTTATGAAGTAGCAACGAAAATAATTTTATGGTTGGGTCACAACCTGAGGAACTGTATTTAAAGGACCAGAAGGTTGAGAACCACTGGCTTAGAAGGAATACCTATAATAGTGTAGCAGGGCATTCGTTGACAAAGGTTTAGCGGGCTTTACTAGTAGACTATCCTGAAGGCACTGGGACACAGGTAAGGAACTATCAGCCAATATTCTGGACCCCTCCTCTGCTCTCAGAGTTTCTGAGGCTCCAGCATCTTATCTCCTTGGAGACGTTTTCTAACGACTAGCCCCTTCCTCAGGTGGCGTAAGTCACCTTCTCCTGGATCAGGAGGGTGGGCGCACGTTCTCTCTGGGTCCTTCCTCACCTCACGTTTTAGGGGACAATGTAGAGGGGGACCCCAAAATGCGGGCCCTTATCCAATAACCACGCTGACACCCCCCTCCACCTTCCTCCCACTCTCCTTTACTGAAATAAAATCTCTGTGATCAGAAAACAATAGAAACGATCATGAGAATCATTACAGAGAGCCCCAGGGCCCGAGCTTGCCCTGGGCCACAAATGGGGTGCATGCGAGTTGAGTTTGTGTTTGTACATTCAGGCAGGCCCAGAGGAATGGGAGGCAGGCTTGGTTAAGAACAGAACGAGGATTCTGGTGCAGGGGTTGGAGAGAGCTCAGCTCTCCCCACGGCCTCTCCCAGGCTCCACAGGGCTGGGGTCAGGCTGCACTGGCCCCAGACCTCTGCCTGACCCGCCTCTCTCAACAGCTTCTGCAAGGGGCGGACATTACACTCGTTTGTGAGGGACCCCAAGACATCGCTGGACATCAACAAGACGCGGCAGATCGCTCAGGAGATCATCAAGGTAAGGGGCGTCCTCCTGCTCTGCCTGCCTGTGTCAGGGTGGTGGTGGCGGCCTTTGTCTCTCCCCTGCATTGGGGTACCTCAAGGGTGGGACCCCTACACTCCTCCCCTCCATCTGTGTCTCATCCAATTAGAGCTACAGCTGGAAACTAGGTGAGCAGTGAGGGAATGGATTGGTCAGGGAGGAACGCAGCGGGCTTTAACGCCAGGCGGCCTGAGTTTGAATCCTGCTCCCATCAGCTGTGTGACTTTGGGCAGGTGGTTAAGCCTCTCTGAGCCTTGGCTTCCGTATGAAACAGGGAAACCAACATAACTTCCCTTGGAGGATGGACACAAGGGTAACACGGGATAATCTACAGAGAGCATGGGGCCCGGGGCCAGCAGGGGGTGTGTCTGTTAGCATTGTTGTGGGGGGCTGGGGGAGCACCCACACTTCTACCTTAAAGTTTCCAAATCCAAGTTTCATGAGGACAGGCCCCCGGGCTCAACTCAGGCAGCCCTTTTTCTTTCTTTCATCCTTTTAAAGTAGTTAAATAAAAATGAAGAAAAACTTATTATTTTTTTTTTCTTCTTTATTTAGCAACAGGCCCAGATAAAAACTAGAATACTGCGGGGCGGGAGTTCCTCTTTTCTTGTTTTCGGTTGAAAAGCTTTCCCAGCAGCTGCCCCCACGTTTGGGTCCCTTTCCGGCCTTTCCTTTCTCTTCTGCCTTAGCCCGGCCTCCTTTCCTTTCTCCGCCCTCTCCCTCCTTCCGTCCCTTTCGGGGGTGTGACTTTTAATAGGAAAAGTTAAACATCACAGTGACTTTTATGGACAAACCAAGATTTCCACGTGACATTTCCATGTGGCTGAGCTAATGAGCTAAAGGTTTGAAGTCCCGCCCTGACTGGTTTGGCTCAGTGGCTAGAGCGTGGGCCTGTGTACTGAGAGACCCCGGGTTCGATTCCGGTCAAGGGCATGTACCTTGGTTGCGGGCACATCCCCAGTAGGGGGTGTGCAGGAGGCAGCTGATCGATGTTTCTCTCTCATAGATGTTTCTAACTCTCTATCCCTCTCCCTTCCTCTCTGTAAAAAATCAATAAAATATGTGTGTGTTTTTTAAAAAAAAGGTTTGAAGCCCCCAAAGCCAAAACACCACCTTTATGCCTTCCCTGAGCCTCTCATTTCAGAGAAGCCGGGGAGAGCGGCAGCGTGTGAGAAATGGTTCGCCTGTCCACATTTCACATGGCGGACTAGGAAACGGAACCATGGCGAAAATGAGACTTTTAATAACACTCTCAGTGTGGCTGCCCCTAGTACAGGATCACAAGCAGGGCAAGGAACATAGCATATTTATTTAGACCTTCCTCCAGTTCTTCATTGGCTGAGTAATAGGTCACCTCGGTCTTGCTGTCTCCCATTGGATTATTTAAAAAAAAAAATGGGCTGGGGCCTTCTCTAGTCACCCCCAAGAAGCATGGCGAAAATGAGACTTTTAATAACACTCTGGAGAGTGGGCGCCCATTGTACAGGATCTCTCGCTGGGCATATTTATTTAGACCCTCCTCCAGGTCCTCATTGGCTGCATACTATTTCATCACCTGTTTCCTAATAGGTCACCTCGGTCTTGCTGTCTCCCATTGGGTTATTTAAAAAAAAATGGGGGCTGGGGCCTTCTCTAGGGGACTCCACCTCCCTTTGTCTAGGGCAGCAGTTCTCAACCTCTGGGTCGCGACCCTTTGGGGGTCGAGACCCTTTCACAGGGGTCACCTAAGACCATCGGAAAACACATATATAATTACATATTGTTTTTGTGATTAATCACTGTGCTTTAATTATGTTCAATTTATAACAATGAAATTGGGGGTCAGCACAACATAAGGAACTGTATTAAAGGGTCGTGGCGTTAGGAAGGTTGAGAACCACTGGTCTAGGGAATCTTCCTAGGATAGTGCTGTCAGCCACGGGTACAGCTCTCATCCTCTCTCCCCACCCCCACATCCTGTTTGCTCTGGGGAAATTCAGCAGCCGCCTGGCCACATGCTGTTTCTTTTCTATAAATCAAAGGCATATTTCTTACAAGCCTCACACCTACTTCTTGTGCCCCAGACGTGCTAGGCCCTGCTCCCCTCTGCATGTTCTCAGAACACTGAGCCATTGCGCAGATTCTGGGGCAGAAGAGAAAAGTCATTCATAGGTGTAGCTGCAGAGTCCTGGGTTTGGCATTAGAAGACAGCTTTGACCTTGAAGCGATCATGCCAATGTCAGCTCACCCACATCCCCTACCTGGCCAGGCCGTGTTCAGTCCACATAGAGCACTGGTTAGAAATCACCCACTCCGCCCTTTCGCTTGTCAGATGAGGAAACTGAGTCTCAGAGAAGCCGAGTATCCAAGGCTGCACAGCAAATTAGAATCTGTGCTGAGATGGAACTTGGACCCCAGATTTCAGCCATTATTCCAGAACTCCCATGACAGCACAGATGCCAGGACCTCCCGAACTCGGGGACGCCCTCTGTGGGAATTCCTCTCTGTCTCTCCCCC